ATCTTGAGATTCTAAATGAAAGTTTGTCAGTGTCAGCATGGATCAGAAGCAGGTTCTTGGCAATGCCATAGGGAATTTTTCGTTGTCAAGCATTGCACTAGGTAAGCATGCAGTCTTGCTGTGATCTCAGCTTCCCTGGGTTTGTGTATTCCTGGTCTTTTCTTTGAGTTTCAATCACACCATAAAAACAGCCTCAGAGTGATGCTAAAACCAGTGCTATTTGTGAAAAAGGCAAAATGACTTTCTCCAATTTTGTGCTGCCTTTCTCATTGTAAGTTTTGTGTCTTTTTGAAACCCAATTTCTGGATAAATTCCTGTTCCCCACAGCTCAGGACCCATTTGCAATGAGATCAGGACAGCAGCCATCCACACATTGGAGGTCCTGTCTTTCACATACATTCAAGATAAGTTACAGACTCAGTCAACTTGAAATCAGGCCTGTGTACTTTTGAGCTACAGAAATGCAAAACTGTGGCAAAGGGCACAGCTCAGTAGTAGAGTGCTTGCCTCACAAAGCCATAGGTTCAACCTGCAGCATTGCAAAACAAAAAAAAATGGCCTGGCACAGGCTTGTGCATACCTGCAAAGACAGGTGCAGAAGGAACACTGCACTCCATTTCCATGAATGGTTCTCACAGTGTCTGATGAAGGAAGTGCAGTGACAGAACTCAAGTAGTAGCTCCTTTCACAGAACATGTGCTTGCATTTAGTGAGTTGAGATGAACACTCCAGACTATGCAGAGCCACCAGCCTCCTACTAAATGCCTGACACCTAGGAGGAGGAGTACTTTGGCCTTAGATGCCTGGGAGTGGGGGTGCAGCTTGCCAGGACCAGCAATGGCACTCAGACCCAATCTGTTCCTCACTGCCACACCTTCATAGTGAAATCAGATGTCAAATCCTTGATGTGAAGCTTTTTTTTTCCTCCCTTTGGCCTGGGCATTTTTTTTCCTTACTATTATATGAGTTGTTTTTAATTAAGATGTTTTATGCTATGCTTTCAAAGCCTTAACTGTCATATCTAGCATGATTTATACAAAAACACACCAGGCTAGCACAGGTAAATTTCATTATACTTGTAATGCTGTTTTGATAAACATGAGTTCTGCTGCTATAGGATCCCTCTCTTTGGAGGCCATGCTACTGTGCAAGGCATGAAGACCTCAGCTAGGCTGTGGGAATGGTTGTGGGGTTTTGTAGAAATGTCCTTGCAGAAGTATTCATGAAGTGGATGGTTCAGAAGTGAAGAGCACACTCTAGAATGTGAGATGATAAACTGCCACTTGACAGAACAACAGCAGAACAGTTTGTCCACAGCAGAAAAAGCTTAAGTCTCAGCCAGGGGAGGGGTGTCTTCTGCTTAAAGGGACACCACTGAAACAGCAGAGCTTCAGCTACCAAGGAGTAAGAATGAAAACTACCTAACTCAGTGACTGAGGCTGTAGGATGGATAAGACTTCCTGGTAACATGAAATAAAGGCAGTGAAAGAAATAGAAATTCAAGTCATTGCCCTCAAGTCCTTTCCATCCTTAACACGAGATTTTTCCACTTGTTAAGTGCTGCGCCCCTCCCCTGACTCAGGCAATGGCAAGGCCCTACTGAGGTGGATGGAGCAAGGCGTCCATCCTCTGGAGGAGCGCAGTATGTTTCTGGGAATGGGCTGATTTGTTTTTGTATTCCTTTAATAAGTATGGTTTGGATTTTTCATATGACCATTAAGTATAAAGGAAAAATCATGACTTTCCCAATTAATGTAACTACTTCTAAAGCATAGATCTGTTTGCTCTAAATGCAATGATTCAGCTGTGGAGTGTAAATTGTTAATGTCTA